CGATTTGAATACAACACTCACTATTGACAACAGCAGTAGCCAAGATTGCTGCCATGCCAGCTTGCTGCGGGAGGAGCTGGATCTCTGAGTGCAGCGCCGCCGGGTACGACGGCTCCTCCTTCACCACAGGTTGTTTGTGGGCGACAAGGCTCAGTGGAGGAGAGCCTTGGGCCACCGGAGAGGAGGAGCCCAGCGGAACAGGAGACACGAACGCCACGAGCCTTTCACCGGCCGTAAGCTCTTTCATCACCTTACAGAACAAGTCCTCGCCTGAAAACAAACAGGAGGGAGTAACAACTGGAAATCTGGCAGCATAAAACGCACAGGTTGTGTTTGATCTCAGCTTTCTGCTGTTTGATACACAGATTCTGATTTTGAAGGCAGCTAGAAAATAAATATCGTATTGTCGTGCATTAGAAAAAAAGTCACCTTGGCTGTAGATAGAGCAGTTTGCTGCAGAGGCGTCGGAGGTCAGAGGGAGGCGACTAATCCAACAATCTGGATCTTCACACACGACGGTCATCCGAATGTTCTGCACACACAAACAACAGTTTTCATTGATCAGACTGATCACAGCCAAGGTTTTTATTCTTGCCTGTCAACCAACACACAACAAACACACACAAAGGGTTCTTGTTACTCGTTTTGCATCACAGCAGATTCACAAGGCTGCAACTGACAACACACAAGTCGGTGCACCCCTACCGCCGGTCCAGAACGCGGATAAATGGGGAGGTGTGTGTCAGGAAGAGGACCCCGGTGTATAATCTTTGCTAAATCAAACGTGGAGCATCAAGAATATTTTAGGAAGTTAAACAAAGAAACCAAATGGGTTCATCAAAAGTCCCAAGATGCTGTGTTTATGAGTCACTTTTGTTTTTAAGATAAAATTGTTAATTTTCTCTCAGACGGTCATCGGATCATTTCGGTTTTAGAGACCTGCTCAGTTTGTGCTCAGTTTCTGCTCAGTTTCTGCTCAGTTTCTGGGTGAGTTGTGGAAAATGTTCTGAAGCGGAGGCTAAATTCTCATAATTCTTTTTTTTTTTGTCATTTATTCCACCTATTACGGTATCATTGTATATATGTATATCTACTCCTGACTGATTAACAGATCAATGTCTGGGAAGAATTTATATTTTCAAAATAAAAGTTAATTTACGTTCTAAGCACTTCGACAGATTTTTTCCTCCATAATGAGATCTTTTATTCATGTCTTTTGATTGTGGGGGATAAAATATCCAAACTTATGACGATATAATAGTAGCAGGAAAAATCCTACTATTATATTTATCATCAGCTGAAATCACAAAGAACCTCTCTCTTCCTCTGGATTTATTCTTAGTGTAAAAAAACACGGCAAAATCAGACTATCAATCAGATCATGAAGCATATAATTAAAATCTGACATTAAATGAGAAAATAAATAAATAATTTTTTATTTATATAGCACCTTTCAAGACAGAATTCTCATATAGCGCCTTTCTACTCTCCCACAGTGCTCAAAGCGCTGTATACAACACATGCACTTCTAAACACAAGTGCAAACTAATCTACATTCACACTCCGATGAACACATCAGAGGGAAACTTGGGGTTAGTATCTTGCCCAACGATATTTGACATGCAGACTGGAGAAGTCAGGGATCAAACCACCAACCTTCCAATCAGCAGCTGACTTGCTCTCCCACCTGAGCCACAGCCACAACTAGCTTTTGCTCCATGATGCCACATTTAAATTCTGGGCTTCCACAAAGCTTGAAAATGATCATCCAAACTCTGGTGTCGTCATGTGATGATGCGTGGTTTACTCATTGTGACACCCCCCCCCCCCTCCCAGATTAGATATCTAATTTGTTTCATGATAAACATGAATAAACATGTTACTGGGGAAAACCCCTTTAAAGCACGCCCAAGCCCAAATTCAACCTGTCGTCTAAACATCACCGCCAAATCAAGTAAAACATCTGCTATTGTCTTCTTCAAGTATTACCGCTCTTCTTTTAACTACCAGCAGATAATCACCAAAATCAAAGCATTAATTGCAGCCAGCTGGGACGACACAGCCACACGTGAGTATCCAGTGTGCGGCCAGCGGTAAACACCGGTTTATGAAAAGGCCGTGAGTGAGCGGAGGATGATTACAGCCCCAGAAGGAAATGAGGGAGCACAAGCGGAACAAAGCAACCCCGAAAATGAAGAAAAAAGAGGAATAAAAGAGGAAGAGGGAGCTCAGGAGAAAGGAGAGAAGAAAAGGAAGAGGAAAAAAAGATCTGATGAAGTCGACAGGCGGCTATTCAAAGGGCAGCCATAATAAGATCCACGGTGGATACACTGGACAATGAGTGTAGAGTCAACATCCACTGCCTGTATGTGTGGAGGTATGACACACACACACACACACACAGAGTACAATCCTGTCTTTCTTTATATGTGGCTGTGGGAGCACTCCCACCACATGTGTGTATCCCATCACTGATAACTCTCAGCGAGGCCTTTCTCCTGTACATTATTCCTCAAACACCACCAACACCACCTTTCCTCCATCAGAGTTTCTGTTTAAGTATCATACTCCAGACATCACCACGAATATTCAAAATATAATCTCTCTACAACCAACAGAGATAAATGATAATAAGAGTGGATTTGACTGGGTTGTGACAGCTGCAGCGACTCCACAGGGAAGAGAAGAAA